GTCAGGATCTGCTCCCTCCTTCTTCTCCCCTGCTCCCTCGTCCTCCTCCTCCAGCGCCTCCTCTCCTACCGAGGTCCTGTGGAGACGAAGAGCCTCACCTGCCTTCACCTTAACGGAGCTCAGGCTGTGTCCTGAAGCAAGGGACATATGAGGACAAACACACTTTTTTTTATTTTTATTTCAGGTGGATTAGTTCATAATGTTGTTTTTGACAACGTATTGCTTTACCAGCTCTGAGAATCAGGCTGGAGCAGCACACAGTCAAACTTAATAATTTGAAGACTTTAAAAAAAAAATTATATTTAAAGTAAACAAAGCAAATTCCAGTTGCATGGTTAAATAATAATCTCAGTGTCAATTTTTGGCCAATTGAAAGTGAAAATGGTTTAATCTCATTTAAGGTGTGTAGCGTTTCTAAGAAGACACAAATTTTAATATGTAGCAAGACCAGAAGAGAGTAAAAAAAATATAAGCCAACCTGATATTACAAAAATGGGACGTTTCTCCAAAACTGGTCAGGGAGGCTGTGCAGCGACCGACAGCATCTCTGAAGGAGCTGCAGGAATTTATGTGACTAAAACGTCCCCTTCCTAAAATCTTTTTTTTTGCAATTTTTTTTTTTTTTGCCAATATAAAGGGAGTGACTTTTATTCCCAAAATCACGTTTGGCAAAAAATGACTTAGGCCGTTATTTTAGGAAGGTAACAAAGTGTGACAATCGAGTTTGCTACATGTTAGAGTTGTTTTCCTCCATAAGAAAACTTCTGGGTTCGGCTTCAGAACGTTTTTGAGAGGAAGTGTTATGGTCTAATGAAACTAATACACTATTGGCTACAGTTCAAAGAGTCAAGTTTGGCACAAAAACAACACTGAACATCACCTAAGAAACACCACAATATCAGCCAAACGTGGCATAGGAAGCATCATGCTGTGGGGTTACTTTTCTTCATGCAGAACCAAGGTTTTTCCGCCAGGCCTAAAAATGTATACAATTGAACAGTTCCTAATACCAGTCAGAAAGTTTAACATTTTTTAGACGGTGACGTGAACGACGAATTTAAGTCCTTAGGAACAAACAGAAACAAAAGGCAAAAATAAATCTGTGGGACAGAAGAAGAAACAGAAGTTTGGGAGAAAAAGCTGAGAAGCAGGAAGACGTACCAACGGTGGAGGTGGCGCTGCTCAGAAGAGATTTTCCCCAGGTACTCCAGCCTCCCCAGCCCTGGTCTTTCTGCTGGACTGACACCTGCACACATGAGGACACACAGTTATACACAGCACAGCAGCAGTAAAACACTGTTTAACAAGCCTCATTATTAGCTACAGTGTTGTAAAAGCTTTGGTTTAGAAATGCTGAAAACGCGAAGAAATAAAGAGCTTTTAACACTTTAATTAAATTAACTTTACAGGGACTGAGTGGCAAGAAGGAAGGTAGAAACTCCAAGTACTACTGCACAGTTATATTGCTTTCTTTAAAGTGATATGTTTTAAGAAGCTACAACAGCATGTATGGAAACCTTCACCACAAACCTTCTCCTCTTCCTCCAGGCTCTCTGGGTCTGGCTCCAGGCTCACTGCTTGGTCACATTCAGCCACCTGATTCCCAGCAGGGGGCTCTGACAGACCCTCAGATGCCTCGGGTTTGGTCGTAGTGTCTTCCACGGCAGTCTGCTCGGCTTCGTGGTGGGAGTCTGCGTTCTCTGCGTTGAGAGAAGGCGGCAGCGGCGCCGTCGGATGATCGGGGAGCGTCGATTCGCCCTGATGAGGGCCAGGATCAGCGAGGGGAGCAGGTCCAGACGGAGGTCCGCTGTCTGTGCGGGGCTCCGCATCAGAGGGGGCAGCCTGAGACATGGTGACCTGGAAGAGGGAAGATCCGAGCTACTGATATAATCTAATCTATTTATTGTAAACTCACAATCCAAATATTAAAATGTGAGATTAGTGTAACAAACCTGCACAGCATTAGCATTTAGCAAGAACCACAATTTAAAGTCTCACACAGTTGTTAATGACGCTGACTTGTAGTTTTCTATTAAGTAATTTTTAAATTAGTGCCTACAAGAATATTAATACCCCTTAAACTTTTCATAATAGTCAAGTAGGAAGAAAACGCTACCATGTCATGTGATGCGCATTTGTATTCAGTACCATTTACTCCGATGCCCCAAAATAAACTCCAATGCCACCTTCACAAGTCAGTCCATATTTTGAAAATTTACACAACTGCAAAACTTCCAGCACATGGCCGTCCACCAAGACTGACAGACTGGATGAGGAGACAAAAAGTATTAATCAGAGAATCAAAAAAGTGGCCCATGGTTACTCTAGAGGCGCTGCAGACGTCTTCAGTCCAGGTGGAAAAATCTGTTGACAGCTAATAGTTGTGTGCTTCATGCTGGCAGCTTATTGAACCACATGAAAAATACTAAAACAGAGAACTGACATTGCATATCACCAAGGGCAAACCGTCTTCACCATGGTGGTGCCAGCATCATGTCTAGGAGATGGATAAACTGGGCAGAGTTAATGGCTGGAGATAAATACAGAACAATCCTGGAAGGAAACCTGTTAAGTTAAGGTCTTATGACCAACGCAGAGATTCACTTTCCGGCAGAGATGCAGGCCTAAACATACAGCAGGGCACAGTGGAATAGCTTATCATGCTTTAGAATGGACCAGTCAAAGCACAGACTTATGTCTAATTAAAAACTTCTATAAAGTTATGACAGGGAGGGGTTGAATACAAATGCACGTTACACTTTTCAGATTTATATTTGCAAAATGTTTGAAAAACCAGGCATTATTTTACTTCTACTTAGGAGTCATATAATACCTGGTAGTGGTCTATCACATTAAATCCCAATGAACTGCATGAAAAACGTGAAAAAGTTTAAGGGTTTTAAATAGCCAGTGTAAATATAGGGAACAACGTCGCCATCTAGTGATTAGCAGGAAAAAGTACACTCTTATTATTGTGACCCAACATTTTCAACATAATCTCAATTTGTTTGCAGAATATAAAAAGTTACTAAGTAACTGACTATGCGCTCTAAGTTCTACACACTGAATATAATACGGTAGTTAACTGCATTAATGCATAGTTTCATTATGACTAGAACAAGTCAGGGCATGTCAAACTGTTTAAATAAACACATAATGTTTCCTGAAGCGATAATTACAACGTAGTGGTGTTTAAACACAGGTAAAATAAAACATGTGGCTATCTATACACCAAGGGGGGTGAAATTATCATCGAGATGTTGTGAATAAATGCAAACATAAAAGAAGATAAAGCTACTTATAACACGGATTACATCACATTACAACTTCAGCATGACAACTTTAACAGCAACGCGAAAAAAAATTGGAAACAAATATTATTGTTGCAAAGTATTTCTGAGTCATTCAAAAAGTACCTTTCTCTAAACTAGTAATTCCTTTGAGACGTAATCTAAGTGACAAGAGTCGTAATTGTTTATTTAACTGTAAGCTAACGTCCTGCAGAAAAAGGTAAACGTATTAAATTCTACAACAAAAAGAACAAACAGTGTTTTGTTTTCCCAGAAAGAGACAGCAGCTACATCTCACCCGTTTGGTGCCAGCCAGCGGCTCTTCTTCCGCCCCGCCACGTCGGCAGGCCGGGGTCTGTGACAGCGTCAGAGAGTCACGCTGGTCAAGATGGTTCACCGCGACCACAACACCCCCAGGCATCTAAGCTAATGCCAAACGCTCCGACGTCATCTGCAGCAAAAAAAGGAGCTAATTTCGATGTTATTTAGAGGAACAGTTCGCTATGTTAATTATCATATGTCTATTACTAAAAACTTGCGTTCAAGAGTGATGCCACAGCGTGTGAAACTGCAAGCAGACAGGAGTGAATCATCTCGTCTCCATTGAGCTTTAATGTTTGAAGTAAATGAGAATGTGCTGGACTACTTCAGCACAGTAAAACCAACGAGATAATAAATTATCTTGCTAAAGGCGTTTATTTATATATTTACACCATGCTAAGCGTACAGCAATCGGTTATAGGTTAGATTAGATTGTTCTGTATACAGCTTTCGCCCACATCGCGGCTCGTTGGTCTAGGGGTATGATTCTCGCTTAGGGTGCGAGAGGTCCCGGGTTCAAATCCCGGACGAGCCCAATTTTAGATTTTTATTTTATTGATAAACTCGGCAATCGAAAAATAATGTTTTTAGAATTTTCACACACATCAGTATATTAGCGCTAAATATTATTACTTTAGCTGGCCTAATGTATAAGTAAACCAAGCTGCTGCATGTTTTAGTAACTGGACTGTCCTGAAACCAGTAATGAAAAAGAAAAAGTATGTTAAATGAACATTTTGGTAACAGGTTTTATCAATACATTGTGGCACTACTTTCCCTTAAGAGCATTCATGATTTTGATTTGGCCCAAAATGAAAATGAGTTTGACACCCCTGCTTTTATCTAATTACACTACAACATTTTTTTTCTTATTGTGGTCAAACATGAATAACAAATGAAACTTAGCTTAATTATATGTTCTTACTTAAAATAATAATAATAATAATAATAATAATAATATGGCAAAGAGAAGCAAAGCAAAAGTATGTTTTTTATATTTTTGGACCACAATAATCTTAACATGTTCGAAAATACTATGATGCAAATGTAGAAAATACTATGATGCGAATGTAGAAGGTAACATTTCTTCTGCACACCTAAAATGTATTGGTTCTAAATATTTTTTCATCACTAAACAAATAGCTTTACTAGCTGAGTTACTAGTAAGTAACTCAAAAGAACTGACGCCTGTCAAAAAAGAAAGAAATAAAGAAAAGAAAGTAGAAAGACAGAACTCCATTCCAATTTTTTTTACCAATATATTTATTGAGTGGTAGGAATATTGAATATTCTTTTTTAAAAAATGCAAAAATTACATATAGACCTGTAATGTACAAATATATGTTCACAGTTTAACACAGTTCCCTTTGAATTGCCACCGCTTAGATTAAAAAGAGATATGGTTTATTAAAGACACAACATGACAGAAATGTATAGTAGAGTATCAAAAATCATGCGTAATAAAAACCATTAATTGCCCTTTCAGTTTAAAAATCAATTATATCACAACTTGCATGTGCATAGATAAAAAAAAAAAAAAAACGTATACAAAGCAAAGAACTGCACTGAGTATCAGGGAGCAAATGCAGATCAGTTGAGCTGCTACATTCGGTATAGTATTTGTGTACATGTGAATAAATGAGGCTTTGCACCACTTAAAAAATGACAAACCATGACACCTGTAAAAGGTTTCAGATTAAACCAATCAGCAACTCTATAAGCAGAAAAAAAATGTGTGATTTTAAATTGCTTGGCTTTGGGAATGATATACAAGATACAATTTTTATATACAAATATATTTTTATATATAAAGTGCACATTGGAGATGTACAAAGACGCTATTTAAACTATTTTGTTCTCCAGGAGGTGTAAAAAAATGTGCTCTAAAATCTTGCTGGCATTTCGTTGCAGTAAAACCTGTTACTGTGTATCCTATGATTATAAATATAGAGGAAATGTACTAAATTTACTTTGCAATTGCAGAACTTTCTGAAATGCCAATATTTAAGAGCAAATTTCCATGCTTTGCACTTTGCATTTTTTTTTTGTCAAAGTGCCTTGCAAAAGTTCCCATAACCCTTGAACATTTTCACATTTTGTCAAATTACAGCCATGAATTTCAATGTATTTTATGTAACAGAGCAACAGGAAAGTAGTGCATTTTTGTAAAGTGGAAGGACTGCAAAACATAATGTGTGGCGGCAAACCGACTACACATTACTCCTAACACATTGTCGCCATGGTGAAGCATGGTGGTGGTAGGATGATGCTGTGGGGTGCTTTTCATCAGCACGGACTGATATAAAACCTTGTTACATGCTGCAAAAGACTAAAAGTTAAGGCGGAGGTTCAACATTTTACTTTGCTCTATGACATAAAATCCCATCACAATACAGGGACGCCGGTGGCTATCACACAACAAAGTGTGTGAACGCTCAAGAGTAAGTAGTACTTTGAAAGGCACTATAAAAAGTGTCATACTATTAAAAAAGGCTACCACGGTGTCACATCAAAAACCAGAAGAGTTCAAACATACATAAAAACATGTCTTAAAACACAAAGCATAATAGTTCTTCTACCCTTTAACCATTTTATGGGTGATTTTTTTTCTCACTCACACAATAATGCCCCTGTGCAGCTATGTTCACATTTCTGAATGAAAACATTGATAAACACTTCGCTCCTAAAAATGAATGAGACCTGCAGTCCCACTTTTTAACATGCAAAAGCAGACCAAACCAAGACTGAGCTGCTTTTAGTAAGTGCATGTTTTCTCGCTCTGTGTGTGTGTGTGTGTGTGTGTGTGTGTGTGTGTGCGTGCGTGTGTGTGTCTCCAAGGGACAGCAAGCATTTAGCTACCTGTCTTCACTTCATCATGTAAGCTTATAGAGGCAGATGTGGTGTGTGGTGTAACGTGGTGGCCAATGAGAGAGGAATTAGCATTAGAGTTAGTCACAGCTAGCTGCGCTCAAGAAGAAGCAAGAAAACAAAACAAACAAAAAAAAGGCAGAATAAGAAGCTTAAGGTGTATGACACAATGCACAGTGGGTGTGATGTGATACATTCTGGAAGGTTTTCACATTTTATTATCCTAGCTAGCAAATAACATGTATGAAAGTTTGTGTCCAAGCCCACAAAGTAAATACGAAGATCTGATGTTGCACTAAAGAGTCTGAGCATGCCAAGACTTTGTTGATGAGGCAGGTTGTTTCTGCAGACAGGAGGGCGCTGCTCTCAAGCCAGCTGAGATGCTGCAGCCGCTCAGGACCTTCCACAGCTGATCAGAGGTCTGACACAGCAACCATAAATGTCTAAATGAGAGCAGGAAGGCGTTACCAGCTCTTACGAATGAGGTGAAAGAGTTCAAAACATGCACCCTGAGGAATATTTCCCCCAATCCCTCTCAGTCGGCCATTTTAACACCGTCAAGTCAAAGTGGTGAAGTCCCAACAATGAACCTCGGCCTGAAATACGTGTCGCCAGGCCGGCGTGGAGGATTTCACACCAACAGGTGGCGCTTCTTGTGTAGAGCCAGGTGGTCTGAGCGGGAGAAGCTGCGTTCGCAGTCTGGACACTGGAACGGTTTGACCCCCGTGTGTTTGCGGAAGTGTCTCGTTAGCTCGTCTGAACGGGCGAACTTCCATGTGCAGCCTTCCCACACGCACTTGTAAGGTTTCTCTCCTACACAAAACAGAAGAAGAGAACAAAGGGCTGAGAGGAAGTTTCACATCAGACTGAACAACTGGTGCTGGCATTGAGACGGGGCTGCAGTCGGGATCAATATAATAGGTTATGGTCAACAGTACCTATAAACAGCTGTGTCAGGAAGTCATGTGTTGCTTTTTAAGCCCTGTAAGCCTACCTCATGTTGTCAAACAGGTTCTGTTTTATTAAATAGATTCTACAGGCCTGGTAGCAACTGGGTTGCCTGGGTGTCACTTGAGAAACTGAACTCGGCTTTCATAAAATGTGGTTAATTTCCGTTAATTAATTGTCAACAGGAAGTCAGTCAGTTTTTCACACTTTCTCACAAGTTGGTATTAAATTAAGTCATCACTTCAAAACTGTTTTTTGTATTAGCTTATCTTTGATATTTAAAAGTATTTGCTGATCTGAAACATGTAAACTTAACAAAGAGCAAAACAAAATACATGTAAGGTAAAACAACTGTATTTACTTTATTCCCTCTGACATTAAAAGCTGTCCTTGGACGCCTCAAGGTTCAAGAAGTTCTTGGAGCATCGAACGGTTTCCGGCAGCAGTGAAAAGGTGAAGCCTGTCTGCGAGTGAGGCCTCTTACCGGTGTGTGTTCTGCGATGCGCTTTGAGGTGAGAGCTCTTGGTGTACACTTTGTTGCAGCCTGAGAAGTCGCAGCAGTGAATTCGGCGCTTTTTCTGCGTGTCAGGTGACTCAGCTGGTAGAGGATGCTTGGAGCTCGTGCGAACTATCACTGATGGGTTGTTGCACCTAAGACAGGCAAGAATAGGGGGGAAAAAATTAACACAACGTCACCCCTTCTCTACCTAAAGTGGCCAGCAGAGGGCACCAGAGTCCTGTTTCAAAATGTTGAAATTTACAGCCGTTTGATTTTGTTGGACGCTGTTGAGGAATAGCACATTTTTCCTCATCTATTTCTCTTTGCTTTGTAGTTTTACCAGAAGCATATACCATATCTGTCTATCCACAGTTTGATTCTTTCAGAGATTGACCCCATACATAAGAAAAACAATAATTTCTAAAAAACCTGTGAAGCAGTAGATCTTTTGGTCTTTACAGCCCTGCAAAGCCGGGTGCATAAAAATCCTACAAGTGAGACTGAAGCCTACAGAGCAAAAGAATACAAACCAAAAGATAAGAAGGGATACATGCCAAAAATGAAAAAAATAAAAAATAGCAGGGTGTGTCTTTTGTACCTTGTCCTGAAGAACTAGGTGTGTATTTAAGTAAGTGGCAGTTGGGAGCAGGTGTCGAGTGTTAAAATGTGAATCAATTTTTGCATAAAGGAATGCAGAGAATCGCTCTGCAACACACATCGCTCAAAAGAACAGAGCCAAACCCATCTTTATTAGACAGCTCTGACACATTTACAGCTTGGTTATAGTTTATAGTATAGGACATATGTGTGTGTACGTAGAGAGGAGATGTTGACAGATAAAGTCACACCTACTTATGCCTTCTTAAGGGGCCATTTATTTCTCAGTTGGCACGGCTACAAGAACAAGCCTGTAAAGGCAGCCACCCTGCTGACAACAGAAACGGATGGGTTGCTCTCAACTTACACACGGAAAAAAAAAACAGCCAAAAAAAAAAAAAAGTAGGTGAGAACCAACTGCCAGTGTACCTTTTTGACTATCACCTGTGCAAGAAAACCTGTAATTATTTCTTTAAGGGGGGAAAAAAAAAGGCCTCTAGTTAGCGAAAGATAAGATGGTTCGGAAAAAAACCGCGGAAGTGCAGAAGATTAGGAGCGGGAAGAAGAGGGAGGGAAAAAGTTTACGAGAAGTGATACAGACACACGTACAGCCGCTCCACTATCACTGGCAGCTCTGGTAAAGATGTGTACAAAGGGCATATAATAAATTTACTTTGATAATTCCTCTGCACAATCATTCCAGAACATCCTGGGTCAACTCTTTTGTTCGGCTTAACCCAAATTATTTCTGTAGCATTTATCTCTGACAGACGGAGATTGTCGTAGAGAAAAGGTGGTTTTAAATCTAGGGAACCATTCTTGTCTTGATTTGACTTTATGTTTTGGACTTTTATCCAACTTGAAACCCAATAATGACACATTCTTGCGTTCATCTTTAAAATTACCTTTGGGTAAAAAGTCCCTGCCCTGTTTAGCAGATTTCACGATGGTGGAAAAGAAAAGTCTTTTTTTCCTAAGCAACTGGATGGAGATATTTCTCTTTAGCCTCCTCCTTTGCCACAGATGTTTTAAACATTTTAATCATTGCTCTGGCTGTAGACAGGGGCAAGTTGTTGTTACAATTTTCCAGCTTATGAAGATCAACAGTAATTTGCCTTCAATCTGCCTTGAATTTTATGTTCTTTCGTCTTTCCCCTTTTGAAGAATGGGTGTGTTGCATCTTATTTATACTCGAGAGAAGAGGAATGTCGTTGGCATAAAAATTATAACTTTCAACACACTGTGATAAATTAAAAATAGATTACGTAAAAATGACAAAAAGTTCTTTATTTACATTTATTTTATAGGAATTGTTAAGAAGGGAACAGTAATTTTTCTCCTAATGAATGAATCCACTTTAATAAAAGTCGGATTTTTGCTTTTGCAAAAAAAAAAAGATGAATTTATATTTACGATTGTTTTTAAACACACTTTGCCATTATTGTCAATAAAAGTGAAAGGAATATAAATTGTCATCAGTATTTCTACAGAAAAGCTGTGGCTGGTGAGTGGGAAGAGAATGAAAAAGGAAAGAACGATGATCCACGCAGAGGAACAACAGATTGTTTACACAATACTATTCATAACAGCACATTATGTGTAGGATTTCTAAAAGCTGTGAAGCAGTAGATCTTTCATCTTTACAGCCCTGCTTATAAAAATGCTAAAAGCGACACTGAAGCCTACAGAAGAGCAACAGAATACGATCCAGAAGAAAAGGAGGAAGTTTTATCGGTACGTTTACTGGCAGGAAAAGTGAAAAGCGCTGTCATTTGCCAGAGGTATTTTTTTTACTGAAGAGGTGTGGTGAGTGAGAAGAGAGTGATTATTCGTAGAGGAAAGGCAGATGTTACGTACAGTATGCAAAACATTTGACACCTGGTGTAATTAGAATATTATCTTGCAAATACAATCTATTTGAACAAAGGAACATACAGTGAGTGAAGGCGTTAGAAGGAGAATATAGGAGCACTGATGTGACTGGTGAGCCGCTCACAAATAAGGTCTGCTTTGCTTGCACAACTTACGATTTATATTGACAAATGTCATCAAACCTAAATCTAATTTTTAGCTATTAATCCAAACCACAGTTTTTGTTTTTCTGATTATTTGTCGTTGCCTTTCTCCCAGCAGAAATCGCTGTTGTAGTATTTGCTGCAAAACCATTACTAATAAAGGAACAAAACTGCTATAACCTGTGTTTCAGTGTCAAGGGCCTTTATTGACTCTAGTTGTCATTGAGGCTTTGAACAAATCTCAACATGGATCATGTTGAAACCGGGTCTCTGAACAACACTTCCATGTAAAGCTAAAGGGGAAGAACCCAAAGCAGCTTGTGCAACTTTTGCCGTTTCTCTCAGAATCCGTGCATTTCGCCGGCGTCTCTGTGTGTGTGCCACTCACTCGTACTCGTGAGGTATCCTGATGACGGAGGATTTCATCTCATGACTGCTCAGTGCATCCTGGGAGAGATCAGGTTGAGGCTCGGTTTTGATTGACTTGTGCAGGTCATGGACCTCCCCGTGCTTCGTAGAGTGGACTGGTAAAACATAAGAGATACGCGGTTTTGTTAGTTTTCTTTCTGTTTACGTATTGGGAAACTTTTCTTCACACGTAAATGGTTATCCCCATATGGGGAAATCAAGATTAATACCCAATAATGAAACTTTCGCCTGCAGGTACAGCCAAAGGAATACCTCTTGTAAACCCCGTGTGTGTTTTTGTGTGCTTAGCTCTAGTATTTAGTTATTTTCATCAAATATATGCCTGCCAAATGTGGGAAATTTAGAGAACTGAGTAACTCCTGGTGCCCTCCAGCTGGCTACAGGCAACAGGACAAAAATAAAACATCTTCCAGAATAAAAAACAGAAAATTTGCTGAAATTGTTTTTCTAACAGCAGAGTGGAAAAAGTGCTTCCTCATTATAAGTAAGAGACAAATATAGACACTGAAGAAGGAACCAGTTCAGGGCAATAGCAAAGCCCAGTTAACGTCTGTTTGAATCCAACTTACTAATATCACGATAAACTATTTTCTTCGTAAGAAGACATTTAAAGTAAGCTAGTCAAAGATAAGAGATATCTAGCACCTTCTATCTTTTTTGATCAGAAGCTTTTCTGATTAGAGTTCAGTTGAATTTACCTCCAACTGTGACACTACCAGCCCTGCCACTTAACATACTTAGCTTCATGTATTCAAGATAGACATCGGGTGTCATGCAAATGTATTTCAGACCGAAATAGATAAGAACACACTGCTTCAGGGCAGAAGCAGTGTGTTCATTACGCTGCAAAAACAAAATCTTTCCAAGAATTTTCAGTCTAGCTCGAGCAAATATATTAATACTTTTGGAGCCAAGACTTTTCAGCAACATCTAGAAGCGTGTTTTAAGTAAATAATTCCTTTAATTGTGGTACTAGTTCCACTGGCAGATTATTCATTTGTAACAAGATACTTTCCATTGCTATAAGTGAAATAATCTGCTGGTGGAACAATTTATTTCTCATCAATATTAAGAAATTATTGACTTAGAAAAGCTCCTATATCTTGTCAAAATGTTACTTGTAAGTTAGTTTGGGCTTGTTTCAAGTGTACTTTAATACACTGTGTGTTTTTACAGTGTATAATGCTTAAGAGTTTAAGTGCTTTGCAAATTTTTCATACTCCTTGCATATTTCTAAATGATCAGAGTCAAAATTGACTCACCAAGGCAAAAAGCAAACGTGTGTCACGCTCTTAAGATTTATATTTGAAAAACCTTTTACGACCTTTGCGTTACTTTGCTTCCATTTCACGATTATTAGCTACTTTATTTTGGTCTAATCCCTTTAAAATACCCAGATGTTTGCGGCTGCAAGGCTGGGTCGAGCAGAAACAGGTCTCACCATGCTTATGCTCTCTGCTGGGAGGATGGCCTTCATCGCTTGGGACCGGTGGGCTCACGATCATCTGCGGATGCAGGGGAATTGGTGACGGGTACATGAGGGGCAGGGGCAGCACGAGCTGTGGCATCATCACCCCGGGACTCTGGATGACCATGGGCGGGTAAGGCATCATGTGAGTGGGCGGCGGGAGGGAGTGGGTGGGCGACGAGTGGAGCTGAGAGTGCGGGGAGCAGGGAGAGGCGCGGCTCGCCGAGCTGTAGGTGGAGGACGGAGAGCTGGGAGGCGAGGCCGGGGAGGACGCTGGCGGCGTGGACGAGGTGGAGGAGGAGCGCTTGCTGACCGACAGATCCACCGGCTCCTGCTGGGTCTGCGTGGGGTTGCACGGGGTGAAGTGCGGCATGGGCACCCGGTAGAAGGCACTGGGATGGTGAAAGATCACCCCGTATGGCTCTGGGAATGACTGCGAGGAGGGGAAGAGAGGATGCAGGAGGAGGAAGTGGCGAAGGGAAACAAAAGAACAGAGAGGTAAACATTTCCGCTTTGCCTTGAATAACATGGAAAACATGTTTCTGCCACACAAACAACCACAGCCGGCTGAAAAAACTGAAACGCAGCACTCTGCTCACCAGCTGATAACTGTGAAGTGCAGTGCATGCGTGTGTGTTCATTAGCTCGGCAGAATGTGCAGGCATTGTATGCAAATCTCTACTGTAAGCAGCTTGTTTGTCCAGGAAGAGAAGGAATGTGGGAACTAGTTGGTCTAGACACTTAGCAGGAGTGTGTGTAGCTGTTTTTCATGTGTGTGTGTGTATTAGAGTATGTGGGTTGATGGAAGGGGCATCAGCAGCATGTTCGGGCAAGATGGAAGCACAAAAGAGGCATCTAAAAATGATGTTTGCAAAACACACCAGCCTTACCGTCTCCATGTCGGTCTTTGGAGGGTAATCATACATCAGCATGGCTGCACTGGCCAGGCTCCTACAAAATAAAACACACATGCATTGGTACACTTTATAATGCTCACGCTGTCAGACATCCTCGTCCTTTTGCACTCAAGGAAAGGAGCTTCAGAAAAATAAAAACATCTGTGCGGCATAATCCTGGTCTAAAAAGCTACAATCCATTAAATTTTTTGTTAAGGCCTAACTGACTTATATACGACAACCACAATTGTTTCTGAAAAATAAAAAAGACCCATAAAAAAAAATAAACAGAAAACCACACCTTGAAAAAAAGATTTCATTAGGCTTTCATTTTTTAAATTTTTAGTCAATACATTACTCTGTGTCTAAACTAATTTAACACAGAAAGAGACGAGTTGTTTCACCATGTTAATCTGTGGTTGAAACAAACTATTGCAAAAGGATTTGCTGGGAAAAAAAATGGATTCAGAACAAAGAGTAAAGAAATACATGGAAGTTGTCCTGTCATGATGGAGTGGTTAATGATGACAGCTTTCTCTGAAATGCCAACCGTGTCAATCAATATTAAAATCTAAAATAATTTTGTGTTTACCTAAAAATAAATAAACTGATAAGACATGATATGAGAATCAGAACAGGCTAAAATTGAGATCAGGAAGTCAAAGGTTTTCAAAAACCAGAGATCAGGAATCCCGTCATTCTGACTGATGGATCTATAAAATGTTTATTGTAAATAGTTGTGTTCACTGAGGCTGTACTTCTAACACAAAGTTTCCTCTCGTCTGATGAAATTTAACTTTGACACTTCAAGCATGCACACACCTTTTATTCTACATATTTCATTCGCGTAATCCTTACTTGCCTACTGGTCCACACACATTAAGTCACAAGACATCTGAATATAAAATGCAAAATGTCTAAAAATAAACGTTTCCTGGGACCACAGAAGACATTTTGCAGGTTTGATGTGCCTGGAAACTTCAGACACCTGATCACACATTAACACTGAGAACCGCCTGGTATTTGGATAAAAGAGTGTGAGGTTTCCACGCTGGCTTCAGTTACCTTGGCTTCAAATGGCCAGGTGCAGCTGGGTTGGCTGATTGGGCCTAAATGGGAGTTTTTGAGTGTGATTGTGTGTAAGTGTGTGAGTGTGTGTTTGTTCACTGGAGCATTAAAGCAACACAAACTGTCAAAGAATGTACCCTGAGGGACTCTCTCTCTCTCTGTGTGTGTGTGTATGACCTGATTAAAGTCCAGAGTCTGGAGACAGGTTAGCCTTTAATTATTAACTAATGGGTAAGAACACCAGCCATCACGCCCGGACACACACATGCAGGAAGGCAGAGTCACACACACTCCAGATGGGGAGAGAGACGGATGCTTGCTAGCTGGGTCAGGAAGGGTGTGAACGTGACGAGTGGAGCCTCGCCCTTTGCCCGGCTTCAGGGAAACAAAGAGCCTGGCCGTCGGGTGTGTGTGTGTGCGCGTGTGTGTCTGCGTGCTGTGGGAGCGTGTTTTCTAATCCAGGTTTGAATTGTATGGCAGTTCAACCAGAGGTCAAACAATTTTCCTATTGTGGTTGTGAATCACACGCGGCGCTGACAGTACAGGCAAGTATAAAGCACAAACAGATCATGACAACAGGAAATGGACAAAGGAAGGACTTTACAAGGACTTTTTACCACGACAACCAGAAACTTTAAATGTGTTCTAAAGTTTAGGCTTAACATTGGCAAGAAAAACAACAAAAAAAATATTCATGGCGGAGTAGATAAATGGTAAATATGTCCGTCGCAATTTCAGCAGAGAAATATTGAGCACATCTTTTATCCAAACCAAAAAAAGCAAACTTGAGACAATGTCTTCTTTGATTTGCATAGTGAATACAATTATTTATTCCCAATTACTCTTTATCTTAAAATAATCACTACATACCAGAGGTTTTATTGCAATTTTCTTGTAAGATAAAGATTTCAAAGAGTTATTTATCCTATATATATATTTTAAAGCAGTGATTAATATACTTTCCAAATCAGTTATATGAAATAAATGCAGATTTTATTTAATTATTGTTTTCTTATTTTGTTAATTTAGTATTAGCTACTTTCAAAATACTGCACTTAAACATTTTTCTCAAGATTTAATGTGCTTATTGAAATTTTTACCTCCATCTATCAAATGAATATTATCTTTTCGTTTTGTTATGTTTTAGTTTTTCCGTCCATGTTGATTTTTTTTAGCATTTGTGAATCATTTTGTGTTTCCATCGTTGTGGATTAATCCTTCTTTTTTATGTAAAGAAGATCTAATGAATTTGCTTTTTTTACTATCAGTTGCTCTTCATTCAATATTAAGCCTAACATGAAATAGATCATTCCTTTTTTTGAGGCTTAAACTTTTTAACTGTGAATTCCTATAGATTTTGGTAAATCCTTACAAAAAAGACACTTTAAGTTTTTTATCCACGTGTTTGATAGTTAATTATTTGCGAATTAAAGCAAATTAATTGAAATTGGGGACCTGCTCATTTGCTCCACCTACAGCCAAGACAAGAAATTGCTTCTTGAATTTTGAAAATTAGGTCACACTGTTCTTGTCCTGCCTTCAGTGCTTTGTGTAGAAATATGTCAGCGTTACCTAACTATTGAAAATAAGTCAGGCAAAACTGGAAGGTAAAAATTACATACCAACAATCACACATGTGACGAACTTCAGAGTACGAACTGTAAATGTCAATTATCTCTTAACACCTGAGCAAGAACAGCCCTGGAGACATCTGCACCTCCAGTATGCACCCCTCACAGCATTCACTGATATGTGTGCAAGCTGAGGAATGGTTTTTTTCTTTAAAACCCATTTTTTTACCAGGTTTTAAAAAAAAAAAAAAAAAAAAAACTAGAACAAATGCCTGTGGGCTTAAATGCAGGTTCAATTCTTAGGAAAAACCTGCATGCAGTTGCAGAAACCTACCATAACTGAGGACAACATGTGTCGCTTTCAAAAAGTTGATAAATGTGTGAACAACTTGGAAAGAAAGTAAAATAAAGTGATCCCTTTAAGTAGATTTGAGTCAAAGACTTTAAGCTTCTTCTTCTGCGGGACAGAAATTAGACATGATTTAAAAGGTAAAGGAACTAATTTAGGAGTGGGACATAAAAGCCTAAGTCATGGTGTGAGGGAAATTTCTTTTTTTTCCTGTTGTGCACAAGTGGGTGTGTGTTTGAGCATGTCTGCAAATATTGTCTTTCTAGGTCAGTAAAGCTACTGTGTACTCAACCCCAACCCACTCAGCAAACACTTCCTGCATCTCCTCTCCACACTTGGACTCCAGCTCTTCCCCTGCACCTCCTCTCCATTCGCTCTCCAAGCAATCACTCATGTTGCTACCATATTTATCTAATCCACCCCCTCACTTCCTTGCTCTTCTTCTTCTTCTTGTTCTACTTCTTCTTCTTCTTCTCCTTCTCTATGAATGATGTAAAACAAACATGACTGAAGGGGAAAATATTGCGGCTTGCAGGCCTTGGCTACCGACTCAACCACACACACACACACACACACACACCCCCACACACACACACACACACACACACACACACGCATTTTTACATGATCACAGAAGCACACAAAACTTTCTGCAAGCTCAACAAAACACACACACTAAATCACTAAAGGGCTAAATTATTACAGACACGCACACATGCTCTAATGGCAGCAGGCTGGAGATGATGAGATCACCAGAGAGACCAGAAACCTCCAGACAACGTCTTTGTCCAAGAACACACTGCAGCATACACACACACACACACACAGACTGAAAGCCATGAGTTCCCTGCTCCTCACTCTGACTTTTCCTTTACTTTAAAGCCTATTTTTTCCTTTACCCGTCAGCATCACCTCATGTCAGTGCTCTGCTGTTTCAGCTCATGACTGTCACTTTGATGCCAGATTGCCAAACTTCTTCTCCACAGCTTACAGCAATATTGCCTCATCTCCTGCAAACCTGGAACTTGAAGTACACACTGACTCAAAATGTGCTGTTGACATTGCAGGGTCCTAATTGTCCTAATTGCCTTACTCATCCAGGTGGTGAGCTAATATTCCAAAGGTTCACTTCTTGTGAGCTTCTAAGCGGACACTTCCTGCCTGTTGGCTTTTGTTGCTTCAGAGTTGCTCTCTGTGTCTCTCAGCACCAATTAGGCGCCTGGCCAGAATGAGACTTTCATGGCATGATAACCGTAAGACAAAAATATCACAGTTTCATGGTAGCTCCTTACATACAGATGAGATTAAGGCCTGAGAACAGTGCCTGAGGCCAGATACTTCTTTACTTTTTATTCTAAATGGTAAAATTCACCAGTGGCATGAAGTGCTTAATAGTTTTTTTCCTAGCACAGCCACTTGGCTGAAATCTAGCCATCTGTCCAGGTGCACTTCAGCACGCCTTGTCCAGTGTTTACAGCCAGAAATGATGCGTGGTACTCTGCGTCACCAAAGGTCCTAAAGGATTTTCACTGGACAGCTGGTCGCTTAGCTTAGCTTAGCTTTCCAGGTCAGAGGCTCAACATTGGTGGGTTGACTTCATAAAGTGTAGTAGTGCTTAGTTGCTAATTTTTTCTGACATAAAGAGAAACCCGGGTCACACAAACGTTTTTCATTAAACGGTCGCCAGACTGTAGAGACTGATTGATTCAACATTTTAATAGCTTTACCTGCAGCACTAAAAAACGCGGGGACTTTCCAACGTTCCAGTCATAAGCGTGTTGGCTAACGCTTCATCTGTTTGCATATTCAATTTTAGGAAAATTCCAAATGCAAAGGACTGATTGGATGCAATAATTAGTTAAGTATCATATTTTAAAAGTCATGCATTCGTATCCAAATATTCCAATAATAAACTTGGCCATTCTGATGGGGACTAACTGCCCCATATATCATATATTCTTACAGCCAGAGATGATAAACCTTACAGAAAACTGGAGGGATATTATAATGATGGGGAAAAGAAAAACAACAACATGTGGGTTTATCATAACCCACTAAATCTCAATATTCAGCAGCTGTTTGTGTTCCTGATGCTGTGCAGCTCTGCTCTAACCATAACTCTCTGTGGTATTTGTGACTAGAAATGTTTCTGCGGAAGTTTTTTGTTTTAAATGGTCTGAATTAATATGCTGCTTTTCCACTCAAAGCGCTTTTACACTGAAGCCAAATTCACCAAGCCTACACTCCTCAATACCCATGATGCACAGCTCAGCTTAGAGTGAAGAGCCTTGGCTGGGAATACACTGACAGGAGGAAACGTTAAATCAAACCTGCTTTTTTTTTTTTTTTTAATGCAAGACGACTATTCTTCCCTCAAATGTTGAAGCCTTTTGCAGCCAACAAGGTTTTGAAGCTGGTAGCTGCACCAAACCAAACCATCATTCTCCCACTTCTGGTTCCTTGACTTCACAAACAGCATAAACTCTGACTCCTCTCAGTTTGAGGCCCCTCTCTCTTCTTATTTTGGCTTCCAATTCCCCCATTGGAGCTGCCTAGGCCCTACTCCCCAAAAACACACTCACTCACACACACACACACACACACGCACACACGAACACATACAGATCCTCTCTGCTCCTCTCCAGCAGACTGTGAGCCTACAGGCCTGCAGACCTCAGGGGGGGAAGCCAGAGGGGGCCATCAGCAGGGGAGAGGAAACAGGATCCATCGTCTTGCTCGCACATCCACACACAAAACCATGAATGCGCACGCTTTTAAAGAAACAACCGGAGCTGTCAAGCACCGACAAAGGCAAAACACGCGTGCACACACCTCAAGTTGAGTTTGTCAAAGAGAGCGCAGTTTTTGAGGCTTTCCAGACAACTGAGGACAGAGGGGAAGGGGAGAGGAGGAACGGGGAGAGAAGCGGAAGCCCCTCAGAGTTCAGGCCGACTGTTATTATTTCCACACTCCGTGATGGGTCGGGGGGTGTGAAGGAGAGCAGGAGGAGGAGGAGGAGCAGGAGAGCCAAGCCAAATGGGGGGTGCTGCTGCAGGGGGCCTGTGGTTTCCTGTCTGACTCCCTCCCCTCCACCACATACTGCACCTCCCTGCCCCAAGAATGAGAGGGGAACAGGGGGGAACTGAACCAATAAAAAAAAAAAACAGCCACTGTAACCAAACTATGTCAAAATGGAAGTGGAAACAACAAGACTGAGACAGAAAATGAGAAGAAAATGAGGTGGGTTTCAACCAAAATATGACAAAACTTCAACAAACCTCAGACATGGGGAGGGGGGCAGGCGGTGGGATAGTCGGATTGGCTCACTCCAGTGGTTGAAACACACCAACATAAGTGTCTGCGTGTGTGCTTCAGCATGACATAAACGTGTGTGTGCGAGTGTACTGGCACGCATGAGGTTGTGTAACTACTTACAGCTTTTTAAGTTTATGGCTGTCTGAGGAGCACAGTGTCCTTTTCCCGTAAGTTCCCACTGAGAACCACCAGCCCTTCCGCATCCAGGAGTTTAATGTTTAGCCTTAATGTTCCCTAGGACATGGCCTTTGAGCAGCCGTGTGTGTGTGTGTGTGTGTGTGTGTGTGTGTGTGTGTGTGCGTGTGTGTGTGTACACGCAGTCCAGCGCATTTTGTTCCACCAGATAACATCAGCATGTTGATTCAGGAAAGGAGGCGTTGGGATGGGTGGAGTATTCAGGGCGTGTGTGTGTGTGTGCTGCTGATATTTTCAGCAAATAATAAGAAATCAATAAAAGTGGACAGAAGAGTTTTCTCTTTATGCTCTCTGACTGGAGTAGAAAGAATAAAAAAAAAGATGAAAAGAGGAGAGATGTTGTCTTCGTTACACCCGTTCTACCCCCAACATCCTTCTCTCCTCCCTTCTTTCTCCCTCCCTTCTTTCTTTCTCTCTCCAGTCTCTAAACAGGATAAGGGCTTCATATGCCAAGTGGAATGTGTGACGCAAGCCCAGGCCTTGAAACAAAGCACAGGAAACAGGGAGAGACAGAGAAACACACACACACACGCACACACACACACACACACACACACACACACACACACACACCAACAGGGGAGGAGATGCAGATTGTAAAAGATCTAATTAAACTAAAGCACTTAGAGGACGGTTCAGGTGTGACACAGTTACAGTCTTATCCTCTCACCACAGTTCTTCTTAATATTTGTTGCTCATTCAATTTGCTTTAATTATTGATAATTGTCAGACAAATTTAGTTAACGTTGCTGATGTGATTAACATTAAGCAAAAAATGTCAAATATTAAAGGATGATATGCAAAAGTAAACTTTGCACTTTACACTGTTTTCTGTTTAATGTTTCACCTTATCTGATCTCGGCTACATTAGTAGACTGGTCTAATTTATTGCGAATTTTAATTATTTTGAGTCAATTAACACAAAAGAAGGTCAAAGATGTAACATTTTCTTAAACTAGCAGCCATAAGGAAGACAATAAGATCAAAATGGATGCTTTTTAATCCAACCAAAGCAAATTCAGATTATGTTGATATTTAACAGAAAGGATGGAAAAAAAAAATTTCTGCTTTGATTAGCAACAAAATATTTTTTTATTGGACTCTATTTTAATGTCTCTCATGCAGTTCAATTTCATCCCTGAAATAAAAAGCTTTAAGATCCCAAATCTGGTCATGTAATTAAGGAAAAATTTGTCCTGCCTTGATTTGTGACTCGATGTTTTTATTGGGCAGCTAAAAATATATTTTGTATACAGGACAGCCTCTCTAGCATAAAGTATTATGAATCTTAATCATATTATAGACTGATTTACAAAAATACTTCTTTTCTTTTTATCTCGGAATTATCTTTTCAAATTATACAGGTAATAAAAAAGCATATTGATCCCAATTTTTAAGTTAAAAGAAAAAAAAAACTTGAAAACAAAAAAGATTTTACCCCAATGCAAGGCAAAAAATAAATATTTTAAGTAACATCATTTAGCGAAATTAGTCAATAACCATAAAATATCACACAAATAATCAAATAAATCCCCTGCTGTGGATTTAAATCACACATCCCCCTCGTTTTAACCAGCTTGTCGCTACAGCCACATGTTTTTGTGATTTTAAGCATCAACACTAACAGAGCCGCTGCAGGGACATCAGACTTACTTCTCCGCTCAGCCTCTCGGTCCGTTCCCGCTGCGGAGAGACGCTAGATTCACAGCTGCCTTGCTGATCGGCGAAACGCGGACCTCTCGGTGAGTGGAGGAACTCAATTAGGCAACTCCGGAGAAAAAAACGCGACGCTCGGCGCCCCGCGGTGCCACTGACATCAGGCTCGGAGAAAAACGGGTCGATGGCTCCACAAAACTGGAAGTTACTAAAGTCCTCTTTCTTTCTCTGCGTGTAGCTGTGACAACTGAGCTGCTGCGTGAGTGAGCCGCTCCGGTTGAGCTGCCGTCATATGATCCTGTCTGTTCGCCTCAAGGGGTCGGGCGTTTGGGCGGGACCGGGGCGGGGTGGCCCGGTCCGGTGCGTGCGTGTGTGTGTGTGGGCGCGTGGTTCACACTTCGCCTGTGTTAATATTCAGTCATCCTGCGGCGGTTTTATGGCGGGTTTTCTTTTTAAATCACTTTGAACTTTACAGTTAAGTTCTTTCTTGTTGCTGAAATGTGCCGTACAAATACGATTGATTGATTGATTGATTGATTGATTGATTGATTGATTGATTGATTGATTGATTGATTGATACCTGCAACAAAAGCTAAACCTGCAATAATAACTGTTATGAAAAGTTGAGGTTGAAGATACTTTGTGATAACATGTTTTAAAAATATACAGTATTAGCATACTAACTCAATATCAACATCTTTTAATTATTGTCTTTTATTTATTTTATTTTTACATTTTTTATTACTTGAGTTAAATTGTCCTTCTTTTAATTATTGTCTTTTTTAAATATTTTTTCTTCCCGTTATATACTGTAATTTAATTTTGCTAATAATATAAAAATGACCATAATCAGTTAAAATGTGTTACATATTTATAAATTAAATTCAATAACAAGATTATCTCCATGGTGACAACATGTTATAACATGTAATAACATACATGTTTAAATAATGTCTGTGGCTGCACAGCAAACAATTGGGCAGGTACAGTATAACATTAAATAAACAATTAGTTAAGTTCTCTCGTTGTTCTATGTTTACTTTGCTTCCTTAAGTTTTTATTTGATATTGTGAAATGTATATTTTGCAATAAGTGTAAATATTCATTTCAAACATTTGCATAATAAACAGTACAAAAAGGAAAGAAAAGAATCACCCCTTGTATTTTCATTATAAGGACACATATCCCTCAGATTAAATAAGACCAATCATTTTTGTTTTGAAGCAGTTAGGATAACTTGAATTGTTTCTACTTGTTAAAATATTGAGAAAGAGGGAGAACTTTTTCCAGATTTCACCATCCCAACTATGACGTACGAGGGTGGCAGCATTATGCTGCGTTCCATGGTGCGCTTCACAAAACAGACGGCCTCTTGAGGAAAGAATATCATTGAGCTAAAGCTGGGGAACTCTTTGATTTTCTAAACGGATAATGACTCTAAGAATAGCACTAAACTTGTTATAAAGAGTCTTAAACACAACAGAGTCAATGTTTTGGAATAGTCATCACAAAACCCCGATTATCAGTCCAAGTTTGTGGGCAGAGCAGAAATGGTGCATGAGAGCAAGAGTTTAAACAAACCCGATCCGGTTACAGCCGTTTTGTTGGAAGGAATGGGCCAAAATTCCTTCTTTATGAGACGTTTGTTTGACCCAAGTCACAGTTTAAAGACAACTCTACCAAAAACTGAAGAAATGTATCTAATGTTCTGATATTGTAGTTCATTATTTGTATTATTTAGAGAACAAAAATAGTTTTGATAATCCTAACTCAAACAGAAAAAGCTTAGCGTGATGTAAGCAGGAAGAGGATGAATGGAAAGTAGGACAAGGAAAATGTCTTACATGGAAGTGTGATGCTGTTTAAAGGAGGGGCAGAGACACGTCTGCCAGGTAAAGAGCTGACATTAGACGTTTAGACAGAAAAAATTCAGCCCCTATGACAAGAAATACACTAACTTGTTGGCAGCCAAAGGGTAGAGGACATGGTTGTACAGAGCTTAATTAGTTATGAAAAGATTATAAAGGATCAATTACATCCTAATAGCTAATTAGCTGAAGGGTGAAGTAGCTAATTGGGTGAGAGGCGTGATCCCATCAGGCTACATGTATGCTTAAATAAAATCTTTTTGACTGCACAGCAGAAATTGGTGACATGTACAGTAAAGTGAAAGTATTTCTGCGTCTAATAAACTAGCTGAACCCAAAGTGTTGGCACGGATTTGTGCTGCAGGTGCCGCGTCACGTATCTGACAAGTTAGCGCTTATTCAAGATATTTTTACTATCTGAAAAGCACAAGCAACCTTAACATATAAATCCTTCAGGGGGTACAAGGCGAAGAAGAAAAAACAAATCTCAAGAAGTACAGTATGACAAAACATTTACAGCAAGATGATTTGATAAGATGCATGAGACTACCGAGAGCGTCTTGGTGTGAGAGTGTTTTGTGAGTTGAGAGTTTCAAGTTAAGTGAAGTAAAGAGAAAATCATCGAATTCACATGGAACAGATGTTAATAGTGTAATTCTTGTGTTTTTATTTGGTGAGCTGCAAAGACCTGAGGGGTATTACTGTCTTGATTTAAAAAAAAAATACTTCAGAAATAGATTTTAATGTGTTCAAAGAAACAATAAAAATGTATTCTTTGTATATTATTTTATGGGGTTCACCAAAGTTCAGTCCTGGGATCCTTGTTTTTTTTTTATTTTATCTGTTATTTACACATATTTGCAAACAAATTTCTACAGTCAACAAAGAAATACTTTTTTTCTGGAAAGCTACATTTATTACAAACAGTGGAAGAAGAAGTAAATAACTTTAAGAGTATGCTTCATGTCAATTTAACTACATATCTAACTAAAACAAAATGAATATTTTGTTCATTTTTAAAATAACTCAACAGCTAAACTTTTTGTGTTCTGTTCTTTCCGATTTATTTCCACTTTGAAGTAAGTAAAGAAAAGTAGCTGCAAAATGCCTGAAAAGGCTGAGTAACATTAGCAGTGACCTAAAAGTGTTTAAAGAATTTAAAAAGATAGAGCCGGCATGAATGTATGGAATCTTTCATCACAAAACCTGAAAAATGTTTCCGATGAATTTTCTTTGTTGTTTTTGGCAGTCAGCTAAAAACAACAATGAATCAACAAAAATCTTTGTTGGACAGCAGGCAAAAAAAAAAACAAACAAATTCATACCTTTTGTTCATTTGATTCAACTGTTTTAAGCTTTAAAGTCTCAGAAAATGGATAATTCCAGTTTCATTTATTTATCACAAACATAAATGTAAATGTTTCTCTTGTTTTCAGAAATGGTCAGACAAGATTTTGGGCAAAGAGCTGGATTAGCATTTCTTGTTCTGCGACTTAAAGGCCTTTTACTATGAGCCCTGTGACATCATTACCTGCACTCCCTTCATGCTCACCTGCTCTGTGCTTTGAAGCGTGACAGTAAAGGTGGCAGCTGCTGTTCACGCGAAGCTCAATGTTGAAACAGGCTGCTGTTATTTCTGGATGACTTCTTCAGTAGCCGACTTATGTGTCTTTCAAAAAGACACAAACGCATCATCTCGGCCAACCTCTGTGTCGGTGAGGTATGGAGGGCTGGGTGTGGCGATGTTTTTCACTGAGTCTGGCTTCATTGTCGACCTGCAGTCTGCACAATGAACAAGCTTCCTTTCTTTCTTTATGTTTTCTTCTAATGTCTTTTGTTATATGCCTTGAGAATGCTCTAAGATACAATCAGAGTTCTTATTTAGTTTCTTAAATTTTCTTTGTGATCATAAAAATGTTGCGGTGAACTTCCTTGTTTGAGGAAGGAGGACAAACGAAGCAAAATTTCACTCCAATTATCTTTTCAGTCAGAAACAAAACGCGATGACAAAAGCTGAATTTCTAATCAACTTTCTTATAAACAGCTTTCTTTGTTTGTGATCAAATATCAAATAAACAAACATAGAAATTGGATTTCAATTCTTAACATTTTACATTTTGTCACACTGTAACAACAAGCATCAATATATTTAATTGCAATTTTATGTGATAGACCAGCACAGCGGGAGAAAAATTATGTTATTTTACAAATAAAAAAGTGTACATTCACCTTCACCTGCCTTACTCTAATAACCCTAAATAAAGTAAAGACCAGCCTCTTGCCTTTAGAAGCCACTTGATCAGTAAACAGATTGTATCTGTGTATAATTAAACCTCAGCTGTACAAAAGTCTAAAGCAGGATAAGGATAAAAAACAATATTCTAAGCTTTGAAAATCTCACAGAGCTCTGACCAGTTAAACATCTGAACGTGAAAAAATTGCAAAAATTATTTTTGGCTGTTATAGCAGATTATAAGGTACTAATCAGACATGCAGCCAAAGGTGTCAAAGGTAACCCTGAAAAAACTGAAGCAATCCACAGCTCAGGGGGAAGAATCTGTTGACAAGAAAGAAATTAGTTTTGCATTTCACAAATCTGCCCCATGAGAGAAAATCAAGAAGAAAGATGTAAGAAAACCAGAAGAGGTTCAGTCGGGGGTTGGCCAGTGACATTGTTGGGACAAAAACTGAACTTTTGCCAGAAGTCTTTCTGGTCTCCACATAAAATGTTATGTGTGATAGCCACAGATATCCTAGCTGTGTGTGGTGGCAATATCATGAATACTTTTCAGTCTGAACAGAGAAGAAGGTTCAAGTTGATGAAGACAAATCAAGCTATAAACAGGACAATCCTGGAAGAAACCCTGTTTAAAGACCAGAGCCTGGGATGAGCTCCAGCTTTCAGCGGGACAACGACTCCACACATGGAAGGGCTTAGATCAGAGCATATCCATGCATTGGAATGGACCAGTCAAAGTCCAGACCTACGTCTGTTTAAGAATGTAGGTCTTAAACAGACCTACATTCTTAGGTCTGTTTAAGACCTGGACCTGGCACAAAAATAACTTCAAGAGACTGATTTTTTTTTTTTTTTTAAATCATTTTTCTTCTTCATCATGATCTATACTTTAAAAGTGCATAAGATCCAAGTAATAACCTCTGAAAGTTGGAGTTTAACAAAAAAAACATAGAAAAAAAAACTTTTTCTTCTACATCATCTATACTTAAAAGTGCATAAAATCTGAGTAATATCCTCTGAAAGTTGGAGTTATAACATGACAAAATGAATAGTTTTGCAGCCGCCTTTGTTTGGAAAAATTAAATACCCAAACTGGTAACACTTTCTTTGATGGGACGCACCTAAGACTGGCATGATGCTGTCATAAACACAACATGATGCTGTCATAAACATGAAGGAGTGTTTGTGAATG